CCTGTGTCCAAACACTTCCAAGATATTTAAATTTCCGCACCCGCTTGATTTTAGTTTCTCTGACCTGTAAATCGCATTTCAGGCTTATCTTTTTACTGATGACCATGCATTCTGTCTTCTCCAAAACCTCATCGCTGCTCACATATTCGGTCCATGGTATCCTTAGCATTCTTTTGTAGAACCATACCTCTTTTTGCTTCGAGACTCTTCTTCATGTTTGAGGAGACCGTCCAACATTCGCTGCCGGAAAGGAGGACAGATGTCACGTAACAGAACAGAAACACTTTTCTTTGTTGCCAAAAAATCCTCTTGTCTCGCAATACTCTGCCTAGCTTTTGGAATGCGTCCTTGGCCATCCCAGTGCGTCGTACTTACAGTCCTGTGTCCAAACACTTCCCAGATATTTAAATTTCCACACCTGCTTGATTTTAGTATCCCCGACCTGCTTAATTCCATGTAGTCGTGATACCTGGGGAAAAAATGTCTATCAGAGCAGTTGCCATGAAAATATTTGTAGAATAGACAGGAAGCGATATTCCGTTTTAGTTCTGAGCAATATTCCATTTTTTTTTCTGAGCAATATTCCATTTTTGTTCTGATCCACAAAGTAGCTGTTCTTGGGAAGAAGCATCCTGATTAAAACATCATCTTTACCAATGGAATATAACTAATGAGAGGTGACGTTTTAGCAAGGCGGGGTTTGAATTTAAAGGTCTGAGTTGGCGGCCCCAACGAATGGAGCTCGTCTAAACATTTGTCAAGGAGGTAACCGATAGGTTTACAAAGTTGTGATTTGAGGAAATGAGGAAGTAAAGGAGAAAAAAAAAAGTCACCTCGCAGCATTACAAGACTAAAGGGCTTCAATTGATCTGTTATATGACGCGTTCACCGGAGGAAAGGCGTATTCAACATTTGATAAGTTTGCGGCAATATGAGCTTAAAGGTTTAAGGCAGTTTTGATCAACATTTCTTATCGTGGTTAGCTGTAAATAATTGTAAATGTACGACTACCTTACACTTAAGTAAAATAATAACAATAATAATATTTATAAATAATTTATTGTTATTAATTTACTTAAGTGTAAGGTAATCGTATCAAGTTTTACGGAAACATTGTTGACAATTATATATTTAGTTACATAACAAATAAATAAACATAATATAAATTTTGATGTTATATTTGATTCATTGTTAAGTATATTTCATTTTTTCCTTTGTAATTGGCAGTATTTTACAATAATTTGGCTGTAATGCTAAGTTTCCTAAGTTGAACAAACTGAAGTTATTTCGTTTACGCTTTGTTACCTCTCTTTTCCATTGTTGTTTTTAGATCGCTTTCTTCCAGTCATTTTGATAGGCAATAGCGAAATTCTGAAATTTAGAATGATCTTATTTCTTTTTCAAAAATAAAGCTTGTAAAAAGGAATATTTTAAATTAGTATACAACCAAAAATAAAACGCTTTCGTCAAAAAACCTTAATGATTAATTATGTAACAATAATGTAATGACATTTCGAAGACAAATCTACGGTTTATGTTACCTTATCTCATTGCATGGTTACGAGCTATAAACCTAAATATCAAGTTTTATGGAAACATTGTCGACAATTATGTATTTAGTTACATTACAAACATATAAAAATAATATAAATTTTGGTACACTATGCGATTCGTTGTTTGATATTTTTTATTTTCCCCTTTGTTATTGACAGAATTTTAGAATAATTTGGCTGCAATGCTAAGTTTCCTAAGTTGAAGAAACTGGAACTATTTCGTTTATGTTTTGTTACCTCCTTTTTTCATTTTTTTTTTTTAGATCGCTTTCTTTTGATGGGCAATAGCGAAATTCTGAAATTTAGAATGATCTTATTCTTTTTTCAAAAATAAAGCCTGTAAAAAGGAATATTTTAAATTAGTATACGACCAAAAATAAAATGATTTTGACAAAAAACCTTAATGATTTCATTAAAATTCTGTAACAATAATGTAATGATATTCCGCAGACAAATCTACGGTTTATGTTACCTCATCTCATTGAATGGTTACGAACTATAAAACTAAATTGAGCTTGAAATATTGTGAAATTTTTTTGTAAAATATTTAGATAAGATATAATGAATAATTTGAAGTGAAAAAAGCAATTTTCAATTTTATGTTGAATGTGTCGCTCATCCGCCGAACTCGTCATATACCTGTGCCTAAAGGAATAGGTATATTCATACCTTTTCCAACGGCATGAATGCGAAGTAAGAAAAAAGTCCTCGCCGGCGTTTGAACTCTTTCCGTCTAATCGCCACGTAGCTGACTGTCAAGTAATCTTTACGCCCAGAAAGTTAAAGCGTTTATGCTTAAAATTATAGACAATATCCGTTCTTTCTTTGGAATGGTTTACTAATCTTTGTTCTTGCCAGGACAACAGATTTCGCCATCTTTTGTAAATTCAAATCTCTTTTCCCCGGACCCAACTTGAATATATATTACGAAATGTCCGTTGCTGTCGGTGTAATATTCTGTTTAATAAATCCGCTATTCTCGAAACTGCGAGAAAAGTAAATATATGTAAAAGGATTTATTTATCATCCCAGGAGGCCGTCCTGCAACCCAGGGATATTTAGAGCACGGTTCTTATCGCCGCCCAGTCAACATAAGGATGATAAGGCTGTTTAGGGGTTTTCGTAATTTGTACAGTCTACAAGATAAGTTATATTTTCGTTGGCGTAGCACAAATGCTTATTATCCCAGCGGAATTAAACGAAGAGTATATTATCTATTTTGTACGGCGTATAGCCGAGAAGATGAGCGTAAGAAGCGGAAGTGGGCAAATAAGAATTTATGTACCTATGTGAATTTAGAAAGGTGTTTACTGGTGAGGAAGAAGGAAGGGAAGCGGGTGATGGTGGAAGAGCAACAACGCGTCGGAATGTAATGAAGGAAAACGAGAGAAGTTAAGGGAAAAAAGACAAACAAGAGAGAAGAAAATCGAAGAAAGAGAGAAACAAAGATACAAGTGGCGAGTGTTGAGGGTAGAAAGGAAGAAAAAAAAAGAAAAAGAAAAAGAAAGAAAACAGAAAGAAAGAAGGAATAATGAAAAGACACAAACGAAAGAATGTAGGAGGGAGAAGGAAAGAAATACTGAGAAAGCAAAGGAAGAAAGAGGAAATCAAAGATGAAAAATATTGAGTGTAAAAGGAAGAAATAATAATGGAAAGAAAGGAAGGAAGAATAATGAAAAGAAAGAAAGAAAGAATAATGAAAAGAAAGAAAGAATAATGAAGAGAAAGAAAGGAAGAAAGAATAATGAAAAGAAAGAAAGAAAGAATAATGAAAACAAAGAAAGAAAGAAAGAATAATGAAAACAAAGAAAGGAACAAAAAATAATGAAAAGAAGGAAAGAAAGAATGATGAAAAGTAAGAAAGAAAGAATAATGAAAAGTAAGACAGAAAGAATAATGAAAAAAAAGAAAGAAAGAATATTGAAAAGAAAGAAAGGAAGAAAGAATAATGAAAAGAAAGAAAGAAAGAAAGAATTATGAAAAAGAAGAAAGAAAAAATAATGAAGAGAAAGAAAGAAAGAATAATGAAAAGAAAGAAAGAATAAAGAAAAGAAAGAAGGAAAGAATAATGAAAAGAAAGAAAGACAGAATAATGAAAAGAAAGAAAGGAACAAAAAATAATGAAAAGAAAAAAAGAAAGAATAATAAACAGAAAGAAAGGAAACAAGAATAATGAAAAGAAAGAAAGAATAATGAAAAGAAAGAAAGAATAATGAAAAGAAAGAAAGATAGAATAATGAAAAGAAAGAAAGAAAGAATAAGGAAAAGAAAGAAAGGAACAAAAATAATGAAAAGAAAGAAAGAAAGAATAATAAAAAGAAAGAAAGGAAGAAAGAATAATGAAAAGAAAGAAAGAATAATGAAAATAAACGAAAGAAAGAAAGGATAATGAAAAGAAAGAACGAAAGAAAGGAAGAAAGAATAATGAAAAGAAAGAAAGAATAATGAAAAGAAAGAAAGGAAGAAAGAATAATGAAAAGAAAGAAAGGAAGAAAGAATAATGAAAAGAAAGAACGAAAGAACAATGAAAAGAAAGAAAGAATAATGAAAAGAAAAAAGATAGAAAGAATAAAGAAAAGAAAGAAGGAAAGAATAATGAAAAGAAAGAAAGAATAATGAAAAGAAAGAAAGGAAGAAAGAATAATGAAAAGAAAGAAAGGAAGAAAGAATAATGAAAAGAAAGAACGAAAGAACAATGAAAAGAAAGAAAGAATAATGAAAAGAAAAAAGATAGAAAGTATAATGAAAAGTAAAAAGAAAGGAAGAATAATGAAAAAATAACGAAATAAAGGAAGAAAGAATAATAAATAGAAAGAAAAGAAGAAAGAATAATGAGAAGAAAGAACGAAAGAAAGAATGAAAGAAAGAATAATGAAAAGAAAGAAAGAATAATGAAAAGAAAGAAAGGAAGTATAATAAAAAGAAAGAAAGGAAGAGAGAATAATGAAAAGAAAGAAAGAAAGAATTATGAAAAGAAAGAAAGAATAATGAAAAGAAAAAAGGAATAAACACAGATCTGAGAAGGAAATAAATACAAAGCAAAGAAAGAAATTCGAAGAAATGAAAAAAAAAAAAAAACAAAGATGAAAGTGTTACGATTAGGATGACAAATATTGCGGTTATAAAGAAAGAAAGGAAAAAAGGAAGGAGGAAAGAAAAGGAAAAAAAGGAAAAAATGAAAAGAAAGAAAGGAATGTGAAAAAGGAAAACGAAGAAAGAATTAAGAGTAGAATGGGAAGTGGTAAAGTTAGAAAGAAAGAAAAAAGAACAAAGAGAGAGAAGCAATAATGAAAAGAAAGAAGAAAGAAAGAATAATGAAAAGAAAGAAAAGAATAAACATATGTGAGTGAAAGAAAGAAATACAGACAAAGCAAAGAAAGAAAATCGGAGAAAGGAAAAAATCAAAGACGAAAGGAACTTAACAGATTAGGATGACAAGTGTTGAGGTTAGAAATAAATAAATAAATAAATAAATAAAGAAAGAAAGAAAGAAAGAAGGAATGAAAGACGGAGATAGTCAAAAGGAAGAAAAATTGATGCAAGAAGGAAATAAATATAGAGAGAGCAAAGAAAGAAAACCAAAGAATGAAAAATAAAAATGAAAGAGTTAGGATTAGATGAAAAGTATTGAAAGAACAAAGCAAGAAAGAAAAATAAGGAATGGAAAAAAAAGAAGGAATAAAGAAAAGAAAGAAAAGGAGAAAAATAGGCGAGAGAATGAAAGACGTATAGAGAAATTAAAGAGTGAAAATCAAAGAAAGTGAAAATCGAAGATGAAAGGGCTGCGAGTAAAATGTCAAGTGTTGGAAGAAAGAAAGAAAGAAAGAAAAGAAAGAAAGAAAGAAAGAAAGAAAAGAAAAAAGAAAGAAAGCCAAGGATAAATAGAAAAAAGTTAAAGGAAAAAAAAAAAAGAAAAGAAAAGTTGAGGGTAAATAGAAAATGGATATAAGCAAAGAAAGAAAGAAAAGAAAAAAAAAGAAAAGAAAGAAAGAAAGAAAGAAAAGAAAGAAAGAAACCTGAGAGTAAATAGAAAATAGAAAGAAAAGAAAGAAAGAAAGAAGGCCGAGGGTAAATAAAATAGATATAAGCAAAAGAAAACAAAAAGAAATAAGGAAAGAAAGAAAGAAAAAAGAAAGAAAGAAAGAAAAAAAAACGAAAGAAAGCCAAGGATAAAGAAAAATAGCTGAAAGAAAAAAGAAAGAAAGAAAGAAAGAAAAAAAAAAAAGAAAGAAAAAGAAAAAGAAAGAAAGCCAAGGATAAATAGAAAATAGTTAAAGGAAAGAAAAAAAAAAAGAAAGAAAGCTGAGGTAAATAGAAAATGGATATAAACAAAGAAAGAAAGCCGAGTAAATAGAAAGAAAGAAAGAAAGAAAGAAAGAAAGAAAAAAAACCTGAGAGTAAATAGAAAATAGAAAGAAAGAAAGAAAGAAAAAGGCCGAGGATAAAATAAAAAATAATATAAGCAAAGAAAAGAAAGAAATAAGGAAAGAAAGAAAGAAAGAAAGAAAGAAAAAAAAAAAAACGAAAGAAAGCCAAGGATAAATAGAAAATAGCTGAAAGAAAGAAAGAAAGAAAGAAAGAAAGAAAAAAGAAAGAAAGAAAGAAAACCGAGGGTAAATAGAAAAAGGGAAAGAAAAAAGACGAAAGATACCAAGTACTACAAAGAAAGAAAGAAAGAAAGAAAGAAAGAAAGATCGCATTGAGGAAGGGGAGAAATGGTAAGAATCAAGTAAGAAAGAAACAAACAAGAGGAAGAAAATTAATCAAAGAGAAAAAATTACAAACGAATGAACGTAAAATAAATAAATAAAAAAGAAAGAAAGCTTTGGGGAAGAAGGAGAGAAAAGGAAAGCCGGAAACCGTTTAGAAAAGAAAGAAAGAAAGAAAGAAAGAAAGAAAGAAAGAAAGAAAGAAAGAAAGAAAGGAAGGACGAAAGAAAGAAAGGAAGAAAGAAAGAAAGAAAGAAAGAAAGAAAGAAAGAAAGAAAGAAAGAAAATTCGGTGTGAGAAGGAAATCAATGTAGATAGAGCAAAGAAAGAAAACCAAAGAAAGAGAAAACAAAGATGAAAGATTAGGATTAGGATGACAAGTGCTGAAGAAAGAAAGAAAAAAGAAAAAGAAAGAAAGAAAGAAAGAAAGAAAGAAAGAAAGAAAGAAAAAATAATGACAAGAAATAATGAAGGAAGAATGAGAACGAGAAGGAATAATGAAAAGAAAGAAAGGAAGAAAAATAGGTGGGAGAAGGAAAGAAATAGAGAGTGAAGAAAGAAAATCATAAAATTTATAGAAAATGATTAGGATGACTATGTGTTAAGTGTAGAAAGAAAGAAAGAAAGAAAGAAAGAATGAATTATGAGAAATAAAGGAAGAAAAATATGCCTTAGAAGGAAAGAAATACAAAGAAAAAAGAAAGAAAAACAAAGAAAAAGAAAAACAAAAACAAAGAAGATACGATTAAGTGTAGGAAGACACGTGATGAAGATAGTAAGAAAGAAAGAAAGAAAGAAAGAAAGAGAGAGAGAGAGAAAAAAGAAGCAATAATGAAAAGAAAGAAAGAAAGAAAGAGAGAGAGAGAAGCAATAATGAAAAGAAAAAAAGAAAGAAAGAAAGAGAGAGAAAGAAGCAATAATGAAAAGAAAGAAAGAAAGAAATAATAGAAGAATACTGAGAAGAAGTAAGGGAAGAAAAATACGTGTCAGAATGAATGAAATACAGAGAAATGAAAAGAAAGAAATGTAGATGTGAGAAGGAATGTAAGAAGGAAAGAAAAAAGAAAGAAGAAACACTTAAGAGTAGGTTGACACGTGTTGAGGAAAGAAAGAAAGAAAGAAAGAAAGAAAAAAAGAAAGAAAGAAAGGAAGAAAGAAAGAAAAGGAATAATGAAAAAAAGAAAGAGAGAGAAAGAAGCAATAATGAAAAAGAAAGAGAGAGAGAGAAGCAATAATGAAAAGAAAGAAAGAGAGAAAAAGAAAGAAGCAATAATGAAAAGAAAGAAAGAAAGAAAGAAAGATAGAGAGAGAGAGAAGCAATAATGAAAAGAAAGAAAGAAAGAAAGAAAGAGAAAGAGAGAGAAAGAAGCAATAATGAAAAGAAAGAAAGAAAGAAAAGAAAGAGAGAGAAAGAAGCAATAATGAAAAGAAAGAAAGAGAGAGAGAAAGAGAAACAATAATGAAAAGAAAGAAAGGAAACAAATTGGTGTGAGAAGGAAAGAAAGAGAGAGAACGCGAAGAAAGAAAATCGTAGCATTTATAGAAAATGATTAGGATGACTATGTGTTAAGTGTAGAAAGAAAGAAAGAAAGAAAGAAAGAAAGAAGGAATAATGACAAGAAATAAAGGAAGACAAATAGGCGTGAGAAGGAAAGAAATACATAGAAAACAAAGAAGGAAAATCAAAGAAAAAGAAAACAAAGATGAAAGAGTAACAATTAAGATGACAAGTATTGAAGAAAGAAAGAGAGAAGGAGATACACACACACGCAGAGAGAGAGAGAGAGAGAGAGAGAGAGAAGGAATAATGAAAAGAAAGAAAGGAAGACAAATTTGTGTGAGAAGAAAAGAGATAGAGAGAAAGAAAAGAAAGAAAATCATAAAATTTATCTAGATTCATATGGATTGAATTGAAAAACACAAAAAGTTGGTGAAGAAATAATAATAATAATAATAATAATAATAATAATAATAATAAGGAAGGAAGGAAACTGAAAGAAAACTGGTATGAACACCACCCAGACCCGGTGACGGAGATAAGACCTGTTAAAATTCTATAGGACTACAGAATACACACTGACAGAACAATCAAAGCCAACCGGCCAGATATTGTTATTAAAGACCACAAACAAAAACGGTGCCTCCTTATTGATATGGCAGTCCCTGCTGACTGCAATGTATATTTGAAGATATTCAAAAAGTTGTCAAAATACAAGGACCTTGAAATAGAAATCTCGAAAATGTAGCATATGGGAACATCAACAATCCCTGTTGTAGTTGGAGCCCTAGGACTGGTTGGAAAAGATTGCAGTAGACTAATTGGAGGGATTCCTGGAAGTCCATGCCTCAAGGAGATACAAAAAATTGTTTTGACAAGTACAGCCCACACCTTACGAAGGGCTTTATCTATGTAATTTAATTATTTTTTTTTTTTATCAGTGGAAAGTGTCATGACGCCATTTCTAACCTTAGGTCCCTGGGCGGGACCCGGAAAGAAATGTAAACGCCAGAAATCAAAGAAAATAAAAATAATAATGTACAGTATTTACATTAGTCGGACTATTGTCCTCATCTTTGTTGCCATATTTGTCACAACGTTTCGGCCGTTGTACGCTCCGGCCTTCTTCAGGTGGTTGGCATTTCGAACTGAACCCTTTATTTCGATCACTGGGGTAGAAGGTGAGTTCAATACCTGGTTAAGGCAGTGGAGAACTTTCAGAGGGAAAATTAGCAGGAGATAACTGATAACTGACATCCATCAAACATGGAACGTGGAACTAGAACAGTCTACCCCAGTGAGCGAAATAAAGGGTTCAGTTCGAAATTCCAACAACCTGAAGATGGCCGGAGCGTACAACGGCCGAAACGTTGTGACAAATATGGCGACAAAGATGAGGACAATAGTCCGACTAATGTAAATACTGTACATAATACCTCATCTCAGAAATATAGACAGACTCCAAAAATAATAATAATAATAATAATAATAATAATACTACGAATAGTAATGATTTTCATTTGGGTGAATAAATGCAAGTAAAGCATAATACACCGACTGAAGCTGCAAAATACTTAAAAATAAATCAAAGGCAAATTCAACTGACCAAATGCAGAAACGATGGCAAGATTCATGGTCAATACTCTGCCCGTACCAAACTATCTAATGTAGACAAACCTGGTACCCGTCAGTGGCTGCGTAGTGCAGGGTTAAAAGCTGAAACTGAAGGTTTTTTCTTGCTGCACTGGACTAATGATTGTTAATTAGAAATTACCAATCACATATACTGAAAAATTGTGTTAGCCCAAAATGAAGATTCTGTGATAAATATCCAGAAACAATTGACCATACGGTTTTGGGCCCACTGAATATAAAACCTGGCAAGACAGACTAGGCCAATATCTCCATTAGCAAATATGCAACTTCTGTGGGAAGGAAACTGCAAGAAATTGGTATGACCACAACCCAAACCCGATTACAGAGTTGGTCGTGTAACAAATTCATGGGAGTTTACAATCCACACAGACAGGACAATCAAAGTTAATCGCCCAGACAACGTGATTAGAGACCCGCAAACAAACAAAAAAGTGGCTCCTTATTCATATGGAAGTCTCTGCAGACTGCAATCTATCTTTGAAGATCTTCAAAAAAGAACTTTGAAATCGAAATCTCAGAATTATGGCACATGAAGACATTAACAATTCATTGTAGTTGGAGCCTTCGGGTTGATTGGAAAAGATTCTCATAGACACATTAAAGGGATTCCTGTTAGCCCATGCCTTAAAGAAATACAAAAAACAAATTGTTCCCACACTTTACGAAAGATTATATCTATGTAAAATATGTGATTTTTCCGTAGAAAATGTCATGGTGCCTTTTCTGACCTTAGGTCTCTGGTCGGGATCCGGAAAGAAATGTGTGACACACCAGAGATTAAAAAAAAAATAAAAATAAAATAATAATAATAATAATAATAATAATAATAATAATGTCTGTGAGTATGTATAGATGTTTTTGTGAGCTTACACCCATGAAAATGATCTCAGATGAGATTGAAAGTACTTGGGGGGAAAAAAAAATATTCGAAAGAAAATTTTGGTATTTTTCTTAATCAATTTTCTAACATCTACCCCAAAATTAATCGGCAAACTTGAACGGATCACAACGAAAACTAATCGACATGATATGTCTAACAAAACCTGTTTGAATGAAAAATATGCTTAAATATACACAATTTAACACACACACACACACACGTATATATATATATATATATATATATATATATATATATATATATATATATATATATATATATATATATATTTATTAAGACATTTTAATGTTTATACATTCTTTTTATAGATACAAATATTTAAGTAAATGTTCTTTTTATAATAAACAGTATTAAACAACATTTACCGGCCTGAATATCCGAGAAATTCTCATAGAAAAAATTCGTCCTGTTGGCTTAAGAAAGATGTATATTTTTTAGGAAAGGATCTATTTGAAAAACCCGGGGCATAGATTTGTATTTTGGCAAGATTCGATAGCGACACTGTCAAGAAATTTTTGTATATACATTTTTTCTTTCTGTAAAGGAAATGAAAGTATATATTTCTAAAACTAAAATAATTAACCATTTTATTTTAATATTTTACGTCATGGATATTGGCTTGAAGGAAGTTATATATATATTTAAGAAAGGAGCTATTTGGAAAACCCGGGTCGTAGATTTATATTTTGGCAAGATACGATAGCGACACTCTCAAGAAATTTTCGTTTATATATTTTTCTTTCTGTAAAGGAAATGAAAGTATATATTTCTAAAACTAAAAAAAAAAAGTAACCATTTTATTTTAATATTTTACGGTCATGGATATTGGCTTGAGGAAGGTATATATATATTTTAGGAAAGGAGATATTTGAAAAAATTCACTGCGCAGAATTCCATTTTGGCAATTTTCGAGAGCGGCCTTCTCAAGGATTTTCGTCTATATATTTGTCCTTCTGTAAATAAAATGAAAGTATATTTTTAAAATTTAAATCAATTTTTTTTTTTATACTTTACTTTCTTCTTCTGCAATATTTCTGCTCATCTTACTTTTACGGGAGTCATTATATTTTTTTTTTTACTGGAAGGTGGAGGGAAAAAATAAGGACATCTTTAATTGTTGTTTTTCCATTTGTTTTATCCAAAATTTATAGCTTTTGTTATTGTTTCGATTATGCTTCATGTCATAGTTGGGTGTTCATTGTTTTTTGGGGCTGAGATTTGTCGTTTCGTGTTTTCTAGAGTTGCAATTAAGGACTTTAAAAAAAGACGTAGAACAAAAGAGAGGAACTACGTCTTGATGAATTCGTTCCATTGGCGCACTTTCGCCAGAATAGTATCATGTGTTTTTATAGTAATATATAATTAGGAACCTTTTTGGGGGTCTCTTTTTTACGAAAATTGAAATCAACACTTTTTGTGTAATAGCAAAATTTGGGCGATAAGAAAAATGATCTTGCTGTTGATGATGTTAATGTTGAAGAAGAAGAAGAAGAAGAAGAAGAAGAAGAAGAAAAAGAAGAAGAAGAAGAAGAAGTGTAACAAAGTAATGAAATGAGAGAAGAACCAGAGGGAAAAGACTCGATGAAATATGACTTTCTTTGAAGAAAACAAGGAGACGAAAAAAAAACATTGTAAGTCCCAAAAGTTGAAGGATCAGAACAAGAAAATTGAAAGAGGATAAAAAAGAAATAAGAAAAACAAAGAAATAATCGTAACTAAGGAAGAAGAAGAAGAAGAAGACGAAGAAGAAGACGACGACGACGACGACGACGACGAAGAAGAAGAAGAAGAAGAAGAAGAAGAAGGGTGCAAGGAGGGCAGAAAAAGAAAAGGAATAGATCTAAGATACTGCAAAAGAAAAAAGAAACGATTGGGTTGAAGAAGAAATACAAAAGGGGAAAAGAAGAAAATATGAAAGAAGAGACGAAAAAGCCAAATGTTATTATTAATAATATTTAAAAAAAAATAATAATGGTGTCGTCGTATTATTATATAAGAAGAAAGATAAAAATTAAATACAGAAGGCCCAAGAAAAAACATGAGTAAAACAGATCCCAGCAAAGGACTAGAGAGAAGCAAAAAACGGTTGGATAGGAAAAAGGAGAAAGGAAAGATGAGCTAAAAGAAGACGAAAAGAAAGCAGAGAAGAAGAAGAAGAAGAAGAAGAAGAAGTTGTGTGTGAGAGGAAGAAAGAAGAATACGTCACAAGAGTATTAACTTGGGTTTATTAGGAGAAAGACAATGATTCGATTGAAGCCATTTGAGAAAGAATAAATGGTTGCTCAAAAGATGAAAACAGAAAGAGAAGATGCTACGTAAATTACACCAAAAAAAGGAAATAAGTGAAAAAAAAATTTACATAGATGCAGGGAAGAAAAATGAGTTTCTTGAAAAATGAGAAGCAAGAAAAAAGAACGAACGCCTGTTTCTTTTTTTATTCTTAATGAAAAATTAGAGTAAAAACAACTAATTTCCTTCTAAA